TGCTATTTCTGATACTTTTCTAATTTACAGCTCCCAGGAAATAGTGCTCTTAATCTGTACTTTATTTTCTAATCTAAAGTAGAAACCACATCTTTACATTACATTTAAGAGCTATTTTTCATCCTCATCTGTCAGGTACTTCTTTAAAGGTGGTGGAATTCTTTAAGATTTTTCTTTTTAAGTGAAACATATCAAAAGTTCTCTTAATTAAAAGTTCTTTTAGAGATTTAATATTCTGACTAACCAGTGCTAAAATTCTTTGTTTTTGTTTAGAAAGAACTTGGCTTTCAATGGAAAAGTGCAAACAATAAAATACAGAGGATTTGGTATCATTGAGGACACAAAACTTTGTATTTGCCAGATTCTTTTTTTAAAAGATGAAGTGTTTTCTTTTACCAGTGCTATACTATCCTTAATAATTGAAAAATTTTCTTTTAATATTTTCTTTCATTTTCAAATACAATAATTTTGAATGAACAATGATAAGTTAAAGATAGACTTTCAATTCTATTCTAAAATACTATAAAAGCAAATGCCAACTGAACAAAAATCTTCTTTTGAATTAAGAGTAAAGAACCCACGTCTTTCAATCAAGATGTAAATGTCCTTTTAAAGACATTTTATATAAATCTATTATTCATTTGAAATTTTAATTTAATTATTTGTAGAAGAAAGATAATTAGAACTACATTTTGATGACCTGGATCTTTTCCCCCCAGAGGACACGAATATCATGTCATCCCCTGATAACATAAAATAATAATTTTCATTCTAAGAAATCTTTTAAATACCTAATACTTTTTTTGTGTGAAGGGAACAGTAAGAGAAAGTTGCCGTATTTATTTTTCTGCAACGAAGATTTTTATGCTCTTTTATTTCACCTAGTAATATGTTAATACAGTCATAGAATCATCTTTCCCTTGTTAAATGTATCATATATGAAAGAATTTTATGCAACCATTGCAGGTTCATACTTATTCTTGTATTTACTAAGATTAATGAATTGGCTTAGGCAAGAGATTACTCAAGAATTGTTTTTATTTTATTTATTTATTTTAATATATTTTATTAATTTTTTATAGAGAGGAAGGGAGAGGAATAGAGAGTTAGAAACATCGATGAGAGAGAAACATAGATCAGCTGCCTCCTGCAACATCCTCTACTGGGGATGTGCCCACAACCAAGGTACATGCCCTTGACTGGGACCCTTCAGTCTGCAGGCTGATGCTCTATCCACTGAGCCAAACCAGTTAGGGCTGAAGAATTATTTTAAAAAGTGTCTGCTGTTTTCTAATTAGTAACCCCTTTGAGGTAATGAGTTGCCATGAATATACACACTAACTGTGAGATGATAACAGTTTTTGATTCTTTTAAATTAATAATAAATTTCCTTAGTTATAGCTATAGAAAATGATCATTATCATCCATTTTAAAATTTCTTTCCAAAATACTTAATTTCCAGTTAATGGAAATCCAGAACTCAGATGTTTTGTGACTACAAATGCTCCCATTTATGTGGCAGGACCCTCCACCCTCCGCATCTTTTATAGAGACCTATAAGGCCTTTTTGGACTTGCTGTGTGACCTTTCTTTTGCTGATAGGGGCGAGGGTGGAGTGGTAGGAGCTGAGAAACGAAAAGAGATGGGATGGAGGAATAAAGAGAGAACATGGGGACTGAGAAAGGAAGGTTTGGGAAAATTAATAAAGGAACAGAAAAAAGATACCTAGTATTCATGAACCTTTTGTGATAAGAGATTTAACTGACTGCTTTACAGAGTAGAAATTTGGTAGGGAAAGAAATAAAAATGGATTTTTTAAGGAAAAAAGTCACCCTTCAGGAAACCTGCTAGAAAGACTGCTTTTCAAGGATTGGATTTGGATTTGTTTTCCCTTCATGAACTGAGATAGGCCCTAAAGTTGAAGCTGGAAGTCTGTTTTATTCACATGATAGCTGAATAGGTTTTGAAGGATAGTACAGAGTGAAGTAAGAGAAATCATATTGATTATGGCATGTATAACTTTCTTATCAACAGTTATAACAGCGCAAAAGTGCTATAATTACTGGTTCTGGTCAGAGCTTTGCAATTTCTGGCTTTTTAAATTTGATGATTTATGTACCTAATCGCCTCGATTGTGCATTGTTTTAAAATTTTTTTCAAATATGCCTTATAATATGAGAAAATGAGTTGACTAAAGACTCATTTTGATTACCTAGAATATAAGATGAAAACAGTTTCTTCATCTGTCAGATTGCCAAAATCCAAAAAGACTCTCATAGTGTAGATTAGAAAATTTAAAATAATGCAGGTACATGAATATATATGCATAGTTTAGTTATCAAAGATTTTTTTCTGAAGGCTTGTGATTTATGGAAGTTACTCATTTTCTTCCTATAATTAGGTTCTATGCTTATGCATATTAAAGTTTTAATTACTGAATATGTACACTAGTAAATCTCAAAATATTTCATGTAAAATTTTCCAACATATTTGACAATTTATTAACATTCCTACATATTATCACATCCTTGGGATCACACACTCTATGATTGATAGGCGGTAAAGAAATAGCTTTATTTTTTAATGTTTCAGCTTAATATTGCACACATATTTCAACCTTGCTCTGACCATAATGAGATTTAAAATTACACTCTTAGGATTATCATGCTTATAGTTCTGAAAAATGTAAATGTAATTTTAAAGAAATTTTAAAGAGGATTTGGGGTAAGAGACAAAGTGAAAAGACAGTTTATAAAACTAGATAAGGATGTTAGGGAAGAAAAAAAATATAAATTAACCAGATATGGATGGAATTGGACTTTTTAAAGAAAAAATTTCTTAACAGAGAACTTTAATGTGGCAAACATTGAATGTTCTTCCTAAAGAAATTTAAACATTTCATCAAGTATACAGATGTTGCTGACAGAGTCCTATGGAAGACCATAATTATTCTATTCCTTATTTTTCTAAATACCTTTTTTAATTGTATTATAAAAATAAATATATATGGTTAATAAATTTAATCTGTTTTACATCTGTTATTTATCTGTTATATTTAATATATATTTGAAGACAGGTAAATGTGGGTATTTTATATTTCCTCTAAATGTATTCATATTTGTATAAATGTATCAAGCAAACTGCAGATAGTTTGTGAGTGATGTGTGACCATGCGGCGATGGCTGGAAAATGCTGCTAGCTATTTCTGATACACTTACTTAAAAAGTGATGGATTTCCTACTTTTGCTTTTTAGTATACTTCAAGGAATACTTTAAAGACTCTTCCTTTTAGCTCTATACATTTTTCTAGAAATGAGACAAATTAAGCTGTGGTAGGCAAAAATCAGGAGATAAATAATTAAGAAAATAAATATGTGGAAAAGTGTAGTCTAATGGAATAATCAACAAATCTGAAAAAAGATAAACAGAAAAAGTGAATTTCCTTTAATAGCAAGAAAGCTACTGTCACCAAAAAATGTGATTTAGGTAGGAATTTGAGAATGTGGGTAGGCACCTTTATCTATATGATAAAATAAAAATTGATTTATTACATTAGCATCTTTAGACAACCTGGTCTTTTGGTTTTTCTTAACACATTCTCCATAGTCTTATACCTCGCACAACAATCTTTTTTTTTTTTTTTTTTTAGTTTCACAAAGAAACAGCTGATTTTATAATTGAATTTGTTCATGATACAGCACTATTTTGATAAGCTGACTCAGCTTAATTCACTAAAAATGTTTTGTCTTTTTGACAGCCTCCAAGAAGATTATGACAACGGCACACCTTAGCTGTTTCACATTTTTATGTTACTGTATTATGAACCCAGGTTGACACAATATTTATGTACTTTCATGTGTTAGATAAGTTATGTTCTCTTTGGAGTATGCAACGGCATACCTGTCTCTTGGAAGGTTTGGAAAACAGCTCAGCATGTTCATGTAACTTATTTTTATGAACAAAACCAAAATTCTTAAGCTTGCAAAACGCACCGATATCAAATGGTCAGCTACATGTGTTTACTCTCTTTCGCCGCCAGACAACTATCATAAAATTAACGTTTTAACATTAAATCCAAGGCTATCATCTTACAGCTTCTGTTTCACGCAATTCCACTGAGAATAGTTCCTTTTGGGAACTTGTGAAGAAGAGCCAAGGAAATAGTCATGGTTTTATTCTATACTTCCCTCTGTGAAAGCCTTAGAGCAAAGGACTCGGTCATGGTCTTTCTAGAGGTGATCTTTATAAGGTAGTAGAGAAATGTACTATAGTACTATAGTTAGTAAAAAATTAGAGGGGAAAAGCCTCTAAACTACCACCTACTACGAAACATGTAGGACACTATAAAGTTCATTTTAAAAAAATAGACAAACCCAGCCTTAGAAGATCTGAAAGCACAGCATGTTTCTCCCTTTCCCTCCCCGATAACCCCCTTCTCACCATAGTCACACCTGACAAGAATTCACTACATAAAATCATTGCTCATTTCTGTAAATCTAACAACACCAGGCATCAACAATTAGACCATTATAGAACAAAATAACAATACGACCCATAGAGTTAAATATAATTATCTAACAAATAAATATGCATGAAGCTACTTGATCACAAACCATGAAAATAAGGTCAACTATTTCTTTTTCATCTACCATCAAACCCTAAATACACCATTAAGGAAGTTACATCTGGGTAAATAAATTCCTATGTGTTAAGTCCCTGAAAACTTCCCAAATGGTGTTACACGTCCATGCTGAGTTATTTACCATTGCGTAGTGATATCTGCAGTGGGCCAGGGTTTTATTTGCAGGCCATTCAGAGAGGAGCTATGAAGCATGATTTAAAAATCCAGGTTGGAAGCATAAACAAGAGCATGTGCCCGTAGTCTGAGCAGGAGACAGCAGTGTGTAAAGATGTTTGGAGATTCAGAGGAGTGGGTATTAGAGAAGATGTCTTTCATTATAGAAATGCTGAGGCACAAAACATCGGTGCTGGGAATCCTTTCACACGTGAAACCCTTTCTCCTGTATGTGCATCATGTGCAAACGTAACGTCTGTATGCTGCTGACTATTCGTCTCTGGTGTCCAATGAGTATGACTCCAATTCTTCTAATGTCACTGAAAGAGAGAGAGAGAGAGAGAGAGAGAGAGAGAGAGAGAGAGAGAGAGAGAGAGAGAGAGAAGGAGGAGGCAGGGAAAGAGGGGGATAGAGAATAGAGAATATAAACATTTAGATCTGAGATCTTGCCAACTCCTCTTTTTTAAAAAAATATATATTTTATTGATTTTTTACAGAGATGAAGGGAGAGGGATAAAGAGCTAGAAACATCAATGAGAGAGAATCATCAACCAGCTGCCTCCTGCACACCCCCTATTGGGGATGTGCCCACAACCCAGGTACATGCCTTTGACCGGAATTGAACCGGGGACCCTTCAGTCCGTAGGCCGATACTCTATCCACTGAGCCAAGCGGTTTTGGCTTGCCAACTCCTCTTTACTTTTTTCTCTCTCACATAAAATTGTGTTTTCAAATTTAGGAACTATCTAAGACAGAAGTATGAGAGAGAGGAAATAAACATTGAGATTTGGCAAATATGCAACATGTTCAATTTGCTTTATAAATTTGCCAAAAAATTGTATAACTGGTAAAATAAAAGTTTAAGTAGATATATAAATGAATATTAAGAGTTTGTTACTTTTTTCTTCTCCCTGGTGCCAGTGAATAAATCAAGTTAACCTCAAATTTAAGGAAAATTTCAAATTCAGGCACTAATGTAATATTCAGACATGTCATAGCCTTAAACAATATATAATTTAGTTAATTATAAAAATTTTCAACAGTGTCAGTAAAATAGTATGTAGGGTGGAATATATAATGTAGACTCCATTTGAGTTCTCAGATCTTTCAATAATTTGAAAAAGAATGTCATTGTATTATGCTGAATTATTAAAACAATGGCGATTTCATATGGTTCAATTTATTAGTTTTAGTATCTAACCTTTTAAGCACATCTTGAGCACTTTTATTGCACACAGGCAAAAGAAAATCTTTGAAACACTGGGAAAATGACTGGCCATAATTCTATAGAGAAGGAAATCTGAAATGACATCATAATATTGTATTATTACAATTATTACATTTGATGAAGAAACCAGAATTGACTACTAGTATATAAGATGAACATAGCCGAAACCGGTTTAGCTCAGTGGATAGAGCGTCAGCCTGCGGACTGAAAGGTCCCAGGTTCGATTCCCATCAAGGGCATGTACCTTGGTTGAGGGCACATCTCCAGTAGGGGGCGTGCAAGAGGCGGCTGATCGATGATTCTCTCTCATTGATGTTTCTAACTCTCTATCTCTCTCCCTCTCTGTAAAAAATCAATAAAATATATATTTTTAAAAAGATGAGCATATATGAGTAATAAATAACTTACCAGGGCAAAACCATGTTGATGTAAAGTCTATAATGTGAACAAGCCTAATATTCATTTTAGCAATTATTATAAAATTTTAAATAGCAATTTGAATAAAATATATTCTTTTAAAGAATAGTAGTTACAAATGCAATGTCCAACTTCCACTAGAATGGTATTTGGAAATGGTGGGGAAAGATGTGGGAATGCTATAATAGCCTTAGGAAAGGTAGTTTAACCATGGTGTTTTTGATACAGTACTTGAATTTATAATCCCTTGGGTGGAGCATCTGAACCCAGTAAAAACTCTAGTACCACTTACTCAATGCTCATTCTTGAAATCAGGTCAAAAGTCGTAAACCCTGCAGCCATGAAGTTATTCTTATATTGTCCCATTTTTATAGAATCCAGCCAGTCACCCACTGTGACAAACAGAGGATATTCAGGAACTTCGCCAGGGGACTCTGGCATTCTACAAGGAAAAGAAACCATGGAGACCATTTAAAGCCAGATAAAGCAAAAAATAGCCAACTTTCTCTTTTCCTTTCCAGTGATCTTATATCTAACTAGAGGCCCAATGCATGAAATTCGTGCAAGAGTAGGTCTTCCTTCCCCCGACTGCTGGCACAGGCTTCCCTCTGGCCCCAGCTTCGTCTGGAATGCCATCTGGTCATATTATGCTTTTATTATTATAGATGTTTCCACCCTCCATTTAAAAAAATCTCTGATTTCCATCATATTCAGTCAACCATTTTTACCTGTTCAGTTTCTCTTGTCAAGTTTTTTTTTTTTTTGTGTGTGTGTGTGTGTGCATGTGTGTGTGCGTGTGTTTTCTGCTTTTTGACACTACTGAGTCTTATACTTGATATGTCACGAGAAAACTCACATCTTGCAACTCTTCTTTTTTCTCTTGCATAAAATTATGTTTTCAAATTTGGGGAATATCCACAAGAATAATTAGCCACAGGCTGCTGTTCACTCTTACACTTTCTTATCTGCTGCTGAATCTAAAAAAATGCCCTTTTGCCTTTTTCACATTTTCTATGGCAGTCCCTTCTGTTTTTCCATGGTGAATTCATTGATTGAGCTTCCATTTATTTGTTCTCAAATATTTAACAATAATTTATTATTTATTAAAAAGTAATCTCTGCTGTCAATTGCATGAATGAGATTTATATACGTCAAGCATAGAATAATATAGTCCAAAGCACAGATTATTAATAAAGCACAAAATTAAGCAAAATCAATGCAAGGTTGGGTTAACAAGAAAAAGAAATCTAGCATTGATGAGTTTTAATGTAAGTGATATAGTAATTTGTATTTTTGTTTCTCAAATCTGACACATGCATTGCAGCTGGGAGTAGTCTTACAGTTTTAATACAAAAATAATGTAAAGGTATTATTTTGGGAAGGCTAGAGGATGTATGTCTATACATATATAAACATATTATGTATGTAAAATGTATATGTAAATACATATATAGTATATATGTAAATTAGTTTTATATATTATAAGTTAAACTCAGACGGAGAGAATAAAATGGAATTTACTTTAGAAATTATAATAAAAATAACTCAGAATTATGTATTTAAGCCACTCTGACAATAAACTATATTATTCTCCTTACCAAATAACATGAAAGTTAAGGTTAACAATATTTTGTGTAGTTTTAAAAATACATGATAGTAAAAGTTCTTTTATAGTAACAAGTATGTTATTAGCCCTTTAGGGTAATAAATATATAATTTTTGAAATTATTAGGTCTATAAACTATATTACATAGTAAAGCAGTAACAATTTTTTAATGATTGGTGTTTGAGTAAAATCAATAATTTCTGAGTAATACAAGCCTTTCCCACTAGAAGTGAATCTCTGAATTATTTTTATTAGCATATTGAAGGTTAATCCAATTTTCATTTACTTTGCTTTTAGTTATTTATAAAATTAAAGAATGAAAGAATCTATGGAGTCTAACTAGAGCCACAGGTTTTAGGATTTGGAAACAGCCTAGGTGCCCGTCAGCAGATGATTGGATCAAAAAACTATGGTATATCTACACAATGGAATATTATGCTGCCATAAAAAAGAAGGAATTCTCATCATTTGCAGCAACCTGGATGGAATTGGAGAACATCATGCTGAGTGAAATAATCCAGTCAATGAAAGAGAAACACCACATGACCTCACTCATTCATGGATAATAAAGAACATTATAAACTGAAGAACCAAAGGATAGATATAGAGACAGTTAAGCAACAAGCAGACTGTCAAATTACAGCGGGGAGGGGAGGAAGATCTGAGGGAGATAAGAGATCAACCGAAGGACTTGTATATATGAAAACAAGTACAACCAATGGACACAAAACTCTGGGGAGGGTGGGTATGTATCGGGGGGGGGGGGGGGCAATGGTAAAATATGTACACAGATAATAATTTAATAAAAAAATAAAATTAAAAAGGAATATTTCATTATAATGTTTTTTACATTCATATTTGAACTATTTCAGCTTTAACTAGAAACTAATAGTATATGAGCACATATGATTAAACCACGTGAAATAAGAATACCTCCATTAAGAATAGAATGGCGTATGCCTGCTATGTAACGCTGGTATTGTTCTGCTAAAAATCATAGGAGTGGGAGTTAGGTTTTAAGGTCAGTGAATAAGTAAAAATCAAAAGAGAATCTCTATAAAAATTACTCTTAAAATCTTTTAAACTATCCTTAAATGACCAGGACATAGGTGTCTGGAAGCAATAAAAGCCAAAAACATTATGCATGGTCATACGTGTTGTAAAGTCTGACTCCCGAGGACTCTGAAAGGTGCCCTTTGGAACTGTCAGGACAGAGTTCCTCCTAAAGGCCTATAATTCATTTATTTGTTTTTTTCTTTACTTGCTACATTGACTCCCCTTTTTCTAAACTGGGGTCTTGTTGAAGTTGGGGATGGGGGTAAAGAGAGATGATAGGCTAATCCATGGGCTTTTGTTCTTTATATATAATTGGAATTTACATAAACTAAATGGATATATCTTTGGACACTTTAGTCCATATGAGTATGGTTATGCTTAACAGTTACTTGTGTGCCTTTTACTGCTTCTCAAATCTATCATATTTCTTATTTTTTAAAAACATATTTTTATTGATTTCAGGGAGAAAGGGAGAGGGAGAGAGAGACAAAGATAGAAACATCATTGATGAGAGAGAATCAATCATTGATCAGCTGCCTCCGTACATCCCACAATGGGGATCGAGCCCTCAACCTGGGCATGTGCCCTGACAGGGAATCAAACTGTGACCTCTTGGTTCATGGGTTGATGCTCAACCACTAAGCCATGCTGGCCAGGCCATATTTTCTATTTTAGATGCTGTGCCATATTCTCTTCTATACTGTAAACTGCAATGCTACTTGATTGTGGGCTGTTACATTCTAAATATTAGAGTAATTCATGATTTGACCCTAAAGAAGATTAGTTATGTCCAAAGTTTAAAAGCTATTATAGCATTTACCAGTAAGTACTTTAATTATTGCTATATTTCTTCATTTCCTACAGATGTTTTATTAATAAGTATTGTCAAGTAAAAATTCACATATAAATACAAAATAATAAATGCCTCCATGGAAAACAGAGTTAATCAGGGTTTTAGTTGTGACATTTCTCAGCATTTTCCTTATTCAAACGAAAATATGTAAGAGGATTCAGAATAGCTTCTGCATTGTCTTCCTAAATTATCTGACCAGTTTCTATGGAACATACTTTAGGGAATACTGCTGTAGTAACATCACTGAATTTAAATATCAAAATGTCTAGGGTATTTTATTGCTTACTACAAATAAAACCACACCCTTAGAAAACTAATATCCTGTTTTAAGACAATCTGGCTCTCATATCCTTTAATTACTTGTCAAACTTGTCAAAGAAGTTTGTGAACCTGAAGAAAATGAAAGAATGTATTCCAGTGACTTCCCTTTCATACTCTCCCCTCCCCCATTCTTGGTGCACAGGCATAGTCGGATGACTTCACTTCTCTCTCTCCTGAGATGAGGCTGGATTAATGCCCGAGTTTTCACAATTTCATATAACTGGTGAATGGAAATGTAATTTGCTAATTTTATGTCCTTGGTATAGAAAGGTCATGGAAGGACATCCTGTATACTAAATGACTTAAATGGCCTATTTCTCTGAGGAAAAGCATCCACTATTTGCTCCCAGGATGTTTCAATACCATAATCCCCTTTCTCTTCACATATCTCAAGTAACCTACTTACGCTTTGGCCTTTATACGACTGCATTGGCAATTGATTTAGTAAGGTCAGAGACCCCTCATTGTTCACAGCCCCTGTGCAATAACTCTTCTCTCAGCTTTTCTTATAATGAAGTTGAAAAATGCTGCCTGTTTCCTGGCTTTGAGGGCTGGGTACCATCAGCCTCACATGAATTCTCAGGAATATTACCTAATAAACAATAAATGCCCTTTCTTATCAACCATGTACAATGATAAATTCAGTCCGCTATTTGCTGAGTGTTTTGAAATTTCTGTTCTTTGTGATTAGTGTAAGCTGCCCACCTGAGAAATGTCTTCACAGCAAAACCTGCAGCTCACATTTAAAAAAGCACATATTGTAGAACAGAAGGTCAAGGGTCTATTGCTTTCCTCAGATAATCAAGGAGGGGTAGCATTAAGAAATCCCAGGTATAAATTACGATCAATTTATATTAGAAAAAAGGCTAGTAGGTAATGATACAGTTCAAGGTGCAATAAATATATACTTTCAATACATCTAAATATGTGAAATAATAGTATCAACACAGCAAATAAGTCTTTATTGTAATGAGCCCTTTGAGTTGATGATAGTACTAGTCTTTTAATTTACTAGTCTTTGATAGTTTATTAATAGGTATCAAAACAGTCATTAAAAAGCAAGAAGATATACAAATATATTTTTCAGACAAAATAATAATAGACCCATAGACACAGAAAATAGACTGATGGCTGCCAGAGGGGAGAGGTGTTGGGGGACTGGATGAAAATGGGGGAGGGATTAAGAACTAAAAATTTATAGACACAAAATAGTTCAGAGATATAAAGTACAGCATAGGGAATATAGTCAATCCTATGTAATAAAGAGGTATTATGCAAATTGACCATCACAGCCTCACACAAGATGGCTGTCCCCACATAGTCATAAAGAGGCTGCCACAAGATGGCCGGCAGGGGAAGGCAGTTGTGGGCAATCATCCAGCAGGGGAGGAAAGTTGGGGGAGACCAGATTGGTAGGGGAGGGAAGTTGGGGGTGACCAGGCCAGCAGAGGAGGGCAGTTGGGGGGGACCAGGCCTGCAGGGAAGGATAGTTGGGGACAATTGGGCAGGAGAGCAACTAGGCGTCGATCAGACTGACAGGAGAGTGGTTAGGGGGTGATCAGGCTGGCAAGCAGAAGTGGTTAGAGGCAATCAGGCAGGCAGGCAG